GTCGTAACGACGTGTTTTATGTCGACTTTGGCTAGTAGGACCAACATAAATATGGGGTACTATGAATAGTCGTGATGACTAATTATAATAGTAGCAAGTCGTGATGACTATTCTAATTTAGTCGTGATGACTATTCTAATTTAGTCGTGATGATTATTCTAATTTAGTCGTGATGACGCAATCATGGTGGGGTGTGGTTTGTGCGCATGCGCATACTGAAGGTCAGGCACGTGTAACAACCATGGAGAAAATGTCGGGAGAGGAGCTGAGAGAGTGGCTTGTGAAAAAGGGGTACGGGGAGGATGTAGTGAAGTCTTTTGTTGGTAAATGAGCTGTCTCTTTTACGTAAAATTTCTAATGTGATATTAGATAACGAAATGGATGGCGAGAGCCTCTGCACTTTATTTCAATTTGAGTCCAGTCCGGGTCCTGACTGCCTTAGAGAGCTAGTTCCCAAATTGGGAATTAGACTTCGTTTATACAAAGATATAAAAGAGGAAATAAAGGAAACGTATTGTAATAGTTCTGTGGTAAGTTAACATTTACTTTGACACTTTACATAGTGGGTGGATGTTGAGGGCACACAAAAACTCAAATTTGAGTGGTGTAAACTGTGAACAAGCATTGGCAGAAATGGGTAAACTACATAGGAGCTTGTTTTGGCTGTAGTATAAATTTAACTTGACATTTCAAAGAGATCATACCACTGAATTAAATGCTTAATTTACTACACCCACTAATCATAAGTTACTCCTCCCACGTCGCTATTTCCTCAAGTTCAGTCCCAAATTAGTTTTAGCAATATTATTTGTACTTTTTTGTCATTAATAGGTTGAAGAAACAACAAAGAGGGCTCTTGGTGTTTTAAGCAAATTAAAAAAACCGGATGATAATCATAAAAAGATTCTTACCAAGTTATATCCGTCGTCTGGCAGTAGCAAAAGATTTAATCCAATGGATAAAACCTCTGCTGAGATGAATCGAGACAAAAGAAAAGCAGCTTCTCCACATATAGCATCAAAACCACGCAATCTAAAGGCAGTTCTTCTTCGTTATTCTCATGGGGTTATTCCAAAAGGGAGAATAAAAAAGAAATTAGATGAAGACGGACGGATAAAATCAGTTAAGATCTTTAGAAGCATGACGTCATCTGAAGTGAAAGAAGCTGTTCTTAGTGCATTTTCTGATTTGGCCGTTGACCAGTTTAAATATTTGAAGGCTCTTCAGAATAATCATCTACAGTTGGTTGACAACCAGGAACTGAATGGTGATTCATTAATTGGTCTTTGTGGTGGAGGGAGTCTTTATATTGTAGAGGTACAGTATTTTATTTTTTGTGTGACTTGCATGCATACAGCTATTAAAGTAGTGTGTGCATGAGCACTGTATGTGTATAAAAATCAACCTTTTGTACATATTTTAGTCATAAATAATGTTACCATCAGAGAGGAAGAGAGTTAAATTTAATGCCTTTTTAAAAAGTCACATTTATTTCTTGTCTATAAACCACACATACATTGCACCCATACATAGTTATGCTTGAAGAATAAAAAATAGTAATTATAATATCTTTTCTCATTTATCAGGATTTTGATGTTTCTCTGACGGAATATGAGGCATGTCAATTATTGTTGTTTTATTGTGATTTCATTTATAATTTTATTTATCATTTTTAGCCCCCGTGTTCTAATGAATTTGAAGATCGACCTAATAATGATCACAAAGTAACTGGGTTTAATAGTGATTTATCATGTTATAAATTGTAGGAAACTGAGCAATTGAAAATGGAACCGGATATCATTCTCCAAGAGGAAGATGATCACAGTGATTCACAGGTGGTCATTGCTTATGTCCATGTATACACTTTGTTTTAGGCCTTTTAGTTGCATGTAGTATTTTTTTCATTTAACTTTAAAATTTGTGTACAATATACCTAAGCATTCTGCATTAATCTGGGTTGCATTTTTTTATTTTGATGTAGGCAAGCCTAACTCATGGTCCTGTATTATTTGTTGAGAATAATTCTGGAACATTTGATCCTGTTCCAATTTATGGACAGTCAGAACCAGTATGAATGAGCTTACTTTTTGTCATTGTTTCAATTTCTGTAGGTCAAGTATTGTGTCCCTGAAGAGCCTTTTGAGTCAGTTTTGAGTTCAGGTATAGTTATTTTGATTGTTACTAAAGTCACTATTTCTGGTCCCATGCACACTTGTCTTTCATAGCTATGAGTGAATGCGACAAGTTCATGTGTTCATTAACTCTCACTGATGGAAGTTACACAGTCAGCCGAGAAAGGATTTATCACAATGTTTTAGAGCTGTACAGTTCAGATGCTATTATTTCACATTACCCGGTAACGATGGAATTCAAAGGGGAACTGGCACTTGATGCAGGTGGTGTAAAAAGAGATGTCTTTGCTACCTTCTTTGAAGAAATGTATCGTACTCTTTTTGATGGTTCTTCTCTAGTGACACCATCAGTTCGACCTGGAGTAAGCTTTGACACAGTCGTTATCATTGGGAAAATAATTTCCCATGCATACTTAGTTTCTGCTGTACTTCCAGTACGTATTGCTTTTCCATGCCTGGCAGCTGTTCTTTGCGATGACTATAATAAGAGCAGTATTCCAGACAATATCTTAGTTGAAACCTTACTCAATAGTTTCAGTCACTATGATGCTCTAGTTTTTCTGCAGGCAAGGGAAGAAGTAAAGAAGAGCAACACTACCTTTTCTGATATGATTAATAATAATTTGATTCGAGTTTTGAGTTATTATAACTGCAGCACTCTTCCTACTCCAACTAATCTTGAAAATCTTTTACTTCAAGTTGCTACGTACGAAATTTACATGAAACCAGCTTCTG